TTTGTTTGCATCTGTTTTCTGAAACATGTAGTTAGTATTTCAACAGTCCTAGGCCTTGTGTCCTAGACCAGTTCTTGCAGTGCAGCCTGAACTTCTTACTTCTGTATTATTGGTTCTTGATCATTTGCTACTTCCTGAAATGGGTCAGTGTGGTCCAGTTTTTACTGGTGCAGTGATTATGTATTTCCTTACATCTTTTCTTTTTACTCCCACTCCCATCTTTTTTTAATGATTCCTGTATCATTCAAGATACTGCCCATAGAATCCTTTAGCATTGCAGGTGGAGGCTTAAATTTGTTCTTCAGTTCTCTCAGCTTGAGAAGTGCTGAGTATGGTCTTCCCTTTTGATTTTCTGACTCTAACTCTTGGTCTGTTGTTTGGCTGAAGATTAAGCTACCAGGATGAATTTCCTTCCAGCTTTGGTGGGTAAGTTAAAGGCCCATCGCCTCAGAGATTCCACCTGTCTCTGTTAGATCGTAAGCCTGGCCTTATGGTTTTGAGGTTTTCCCCTACTATCCAGGATTTTCCACTGGTATCCCTTTTAGCATGGTTAGTGATGGTAGCTGGGCACCACCCAGCTCTGTCCTCATGGTCATAGGAGTTGAAAGTATGAGTGTGGACCGTTAGTACTTCCCTGTTCTTTGTTCTGGACAGAGAGTGTCCAGCTGATGGCTGGGCTTTACATAGTCAGACCTTTGATGACTACCCGCAAGCTATTAAAACCGAATTGCCACTCTCAAAAGCAGAATTTCATTTTCTTCGTGGACTGTGTTACATCAGTTGACTTTAGTGTGTCCCAAGGTTATGGTCCCAGAGCTCTAGAACCAGCAACTCATTCCCTTAGTGTGTTAGATTATGACTAAGAAGCTTATAGCATTGTTCACCCCACCTGTATGTGCTATTTGTGAGGATACATTTACAACATGTGCTAATATGAATGTAGAAATACTGTCTGTGAAACCTATTTATAGTCCTGTGGTCCTTTCCTTATTCAGAGCTGCTTGTGGATTAACATTTATTATTGGTGCTATTTGCATGATTGATTTTATATGTAATAGTGTTTCTTTTTTAAAATAGCATTTATTTCTGTTGTGAACTGTTTTTCTGTGTGCCTCTCTGCCTTACCTTTTTTTTTATGATATTATGTGGTACACCCTCTTATAGTTTGTTACCTCTCTCTTCACCTATCTTAGTATGTGCCTGTCACCTGTTTACTATTTTTTACTCCCCTCACCCTCCATTCCCATCCCTAGTAATCATCCTAGAATGGTTCTTTCCGCGTGTAAACTTTTTGATAATAGTAGGCTCAGATAATTGTCCTTTTGAGATTGGCTTATTTCAGTCAGCATCCATGTTAGGTGATGGTTTGCAAATTCTTCATTGTTGTTTATAAGGATAATGACTTTTAAAAAAAGTTTACTTAGAATATAATACATTTTATCAGTTTTTAAAAAATTGTTTTCAATTGTTTCTAATTAGAGGTAATACTATTGAGTTGGTGTTACTGACTTAAAACTCAAAGTTCTTACCCTTTCTTTATGAAATAACCAGCAGAAATATAATAATTGTTACAGACTTTTCTCAATTTAAGGGAGCTCTGGTGGCCTAGTGGTTATGGAGCTGTGCTGCCAATGTAAAGGCTGCCAGTTTGAATCCACCAGCAGTTCTATGCAAGAAAGATGGACAGTCTACCCCCATACGATTTCGGGCCTCTGAAAACCTGCTGGAGGGCCTGCTTATAGTGACTTTTACTAGACCCTCCCCCTTTTCAAAAATAATGTCCTTTTCCAAGGATACAGTCATGCAAATTCCGTTGTTTTTTAAAAATCATCTTACCATGTCCTGTGTGAGAAACAATTAAAATTTTACATAAAGATTAAGGAATTGCCTATAAATTCAAATATTTTATCCTGAATTCCTCTCCAAGAAACAGAGCTGCTTGGGTATACAAATTCAGATAAAATCTTAGTGAAGCATCTGCTTGGGGCAGCTCTCGAGGTTGGTGTTCTTGAATGTTGCTTGTTTACCTGATTTGTTTAGCTTTTGTCTCCACCTCTGGTGGAAAAGCACCTTCTGTCCTGCTATTTCATACATGTAAGGGAAAATAATTCCTTTCTAGAGACTGTTTTAGATGAGTTTTAGTCTTTTCTTTCTTTTCACAGATGCTGTTTAAGCAGGAACCACTGAATAACTCACAGAAAAAAAAAAAAGGATATAGACTCTAAAATCTTAAGTTTTAGACAAACTTTTGATACTTTAAAGAAAAATTCTAGTAAGCATATGTTGTTGTTGTTGTTATGTGCCGTCGAGTCGTTTGCGACTCATAGCAACCCTATGCACAACAGCCCTAAACCCTGCTCTATCCTGCGCCAACTGCACTGCCTATGACACACCCATCCCGATTACCCCAGTCACCGAATCAATCCATCTCATATTTGCCATTTTAATGGGTTTTTTAAAATGTGTATAATAACTGTTGCTTGGGACTCATAGCAATCCTATGTATAAAGCCTACCCTAACCTGAGGCAGTAGTGACAATTACAACATTCCAAATTTTTCTGTTAGCTCTTAATAAATACTCAATGCCTCTTAAGCAATGACCCCATCTCTTTCCCTCCCTGGAAATGGCTATTAAACTTTGTTCTCTATACATATGTCTATTACAGATATTTAAAATAGATAAGATATCATGTCTGCATCAAAGATCAGTTGACCATACATAGATGGATGAGATGATTTCTGGGTTCTGGATTCTATCCCATTGATCTATGTGTCTTTTGCTGTACCAGAACAATGCTGTCTTCTCCATCCCCGGTGGCTATGTAGTAGGATTTGAGATCAGAATGTGATGCCTCCTACCTTCTTTTTCTTTTTCAGTCAAGTTTGGCTTATTTGAGGTCTCTCTCCATTCTGGATAAAATTGGAAGTTGACTTTTTTAATCTCATTGAAAAACAGAATTGGTAACTATTGGGATTGCATTGAACTTGTAAATGACTTTAGGTGGAATTGTCATTTTTATGGTATTGAGTCTTCTTATCCATGAACATGGTCTATTCTTCCCTTTCTCTAGATTTCTTTTTGTTTATTTCAGTAATGTTCTGTAATTTTCTTTATGTAGGTCCCATACCTCAAACCATATACAAAACAGTACCTAATAACAACATGTGTAAGTCCCATACCTCACAGCATACACAAAAACAAACTCAAATAGATCGTGGACCTAGTAGCAAAATCAGAGATTATGACGTGCATCAGAGAAAAACTAGAAAAAAACTCTAAAAGTCTTAATCTATAGCAGGAAGAAACTTCCAAGCATAATGAAAAAACCTACAACCATGAGAGGATAAGATAAATGAATGGGACCTTCTAAAAAAACTTCTCCAACACTGTAAAAAAGGAAACTCATAGATCGGGGGAAAGTATTTGGCAATGACATATCTGATAAGAGACTCTTATCTAAAATTTATAGAATATTCTAGGCCACAAAAATAAAAAGGCAAACCACTCAGTCACAAAATGGGCACAATATATGAAAGGACACTTCGCCAAAAGGAGAAATCCAGATGCTAACAAACACATGAAGAAATATTCAAAATCCCAAGCTATCAGAAAGATATAAATCAAAACAACAATGCAATATCAGCTCATCCCAACAACAATAGCAAAACTCAACAGGGCCGCAAACAACAAATATTGGCAGGGATATGGACAAATTGGAACTCTCATGCACTGCTATAAAATGGTACAACCACTATGGAAGGCGTCTGGCATTTTTTAAAAAGTTGGAAGTAGAAATACCATTTGACCCAGCTGTTCCAGTACTGGGAATATACCCTAAGTAAACCAGAGCCCAGACATAAACAGGTTTATGCATACTCATGTTTATTGCAGCATTGTTCATGATAGCAAAAAGATACAGGCAGATCATCTCTCAATAAATGAGGGAATAGAAAAATTGCGGTACATTTATACAATGAAATGTTACTTACCACTGAAAAACAACTTGTAAAACACTGCACACGGTGGGTATGCCTAAAGACGTTGTTGTTGTTGTTATGTGCCATCAAGTGTTTTGCGACTCATTGCGATCCAATGTACAACAGCACTTAACACTGCTCTATCCCTTGCCAATCTCATTATCTCTGACACACCTATCTCCATAATCCTAGAGACAGAATCAATTCATCTCATAGAGGGTCTTCCTCTCCTGCACTGTCCCTCCACCCTCCCAAGCATGACATCCCTCTCCAAGGACTGATCCTACCTTGCAATATGTCTAAATTATGTCAGATCAAGATTCAGAATCCTTGCCTCCAAGGAGCAGATTTGTTTCACCCTCTCCAGGATGAACTTGTTTGTTCTCCTAGCAGCCTGTGGTATATTCAATACTCTTCTCCAGCACCAAAGCTCACAGGCATCAACTCTCCTTCTTTCATCCATAGCCATTGTCCAGCTTTCTGATGCATAGCAAGGAATTGCAAAGACCATGGCCTCTATCAGGCACATCTTAGTCTCCAGACTGACGTCATTGCTCCTCAGTACCTTGGAGAGGTCTCTGATGGCAGACTTCCCAATGCAATACTGAATGAAATATCTCCGTAAAAAAGGGCATGTGCTGCATGAGACCATTGTTGTAAAATAGGATTGACAAAGGAGGAAGCAGAACAGGAAAAAGAATGGATAGATAATGAACACTGCACTGAAACAAATGAAGGGAAGGACTGTCTGAAAGGAATGTATGATTTGGCAATACAATTTAGAACAAGAAATGTACTACAAAGAGAATTGAAGTGGGAGGGAAGAAAATGTGCAAAAATGAATGAATGAAAACCCAATCTTTTTGTAAGCTTTCATTAAAATCACAACCAAAAATTAATAAATGGAATAATGTATTTTCACTTAAAAAAAACCTACTGATTTGGATAGAAATCAACAAAATAAATGTGAATCCGTTTGGGAGGATAATAATATTAAGTAGAAGTGTCTTTACTTTTACAGACTTGACAAATCCAGGAACCTTCCGGAACCTTAGCCAACCAGTCGGGGCTCTGAATGAGGAACGGTTGCACAGACTGCTGGTATGTGGAAAACTCTTGAGTTCACTAATTCTGAGCAGCAAAGACTTCTGGTATGTAGAGAACTCAGGGCTCACTGGTTCTGAACAGCACAGGCTGCTGGTATGCAGAGAGTTCTGGGTTCACTGGTTCTGAGCAGCTTCTCAGACAGAGTGGAGCTGCATGGAAATAATGGAAAGCCCTAGATAATGGCTTTCTTCCTTAGTCTCTGTGTAGTAATGAATCATCTTACCAGTAAATAACTTGAACCCTTGATCCCTGCGACGTTTTAGAATTCCTTGAATAATTGAGGTGCCTTGATATCTAAAACTTGTAAACAACATGTAAGGATTTATTCTGATGTGTAAGTTTTAGCCAAGCCAAGAAACCCGTCAGAGAGCCTGCAAGCAGCTACCTTGATTTAATCAGGAGACATGACTTTACCTGTCATATTTCTGCAATGAGGCCTCAGCCATGACTGGGCAGTGACTCTGATACAAGTGCAGAACAAGAGCTTCCTGGTTGGCAGGAGGGTGATACACACTGTTTTTGAGATATGATAGCTCTTTCCCATGAGTTTTGCCCATGCATCTCTTCATTATGCAGATCCTGAGTTTTATTCTTTTTCTGTGACAACTGTGTAATCATAAGAACAGTACTTTTTTTGAGTTCTATGAATTGGTTCAGAGAATTCTCAAACTCCTGGTAGTAGTAGGAGCTAGCAGATTAGAGCAAGGGTACCTAGGAAAGGCCTTGATCGCAGACTGCATCCTGAAGGGATCATGGGAAAACTCTGACATTGTGACCAGCAGGCCAGAAGTAAGGGTTCTGTTGAACTTTGGAGTTTATGGCTGGTGGTGGCCTATCTGGCAGTTGGAAGGACAGTGTCTCAGACCTTCCTCTAGGGAGTGAAAGGTGGGGGAATGGGATAGAGAAAGAGGAATCGTGAGTGAGAGAGAGGGTCCTGCATGGACATCAGAGATAATAGAAGAGTGGGAGGATGCAGGTTTGAGAAGGTTTTGTATTTCGGGGACTGGATTTTTGTTTATTCTTAGAAGTGGGACACCCTCCCTTCTAGAAATGAACCTGCTTACTGTTTGTGCTTTTCATCTAAAACTCAGGAAATATGGAGGTGACCCGATTTACAAATTCACGGACTTGTTTTGTGAAGGGGTTCTGCCTCAGATAGAGAGTTCTAGTCATTCAGCCCCCACAGTTATCACTAAGTCAAGCAAACCAAGATGCCTGTTCATCATGGATTAACAGGAATGCTCTGTTTACTCATAGCTTTGTTTCTTCTTTTTGTCTTCTCCTTTTCCTACTTAGAGAAATTAAAGATGACAACATAGCATTGCCCTCGTTTTTGTACTTGCTCTCCCTTCTTGAGGCAACATTGAGTGATGTCTTTGTTTCTGTTTTTCATACACTGTAGACACGCTACCGGGAAATGCCTGAGCCCAAGTTCATGTACGGAAGCCACTACTCTTCTCCGGGATACGTGCTCTTCTACCTTGTTCGGATTGGTGAGGTCATTTATTGCTGCCCCCACTTCAGTTAGGTTTCACTGGGATTCTCATCTGATCTAACTTTACTCTGAAATTCTTTTCTCTAGCACCAGAGTATATGCTGTGTTTACAGAATGGAAGATTTGATAATGCAGACAGAATGTTTAACAGGTTTGTTAAATTCACTTGAAAAAGTTTTTCTTGTATATGGAAAAAACTACATATAAAAAATGTAAATTTTCAGAAGCATTAATAGATGGTGTTTCCTTCAGGCTTTTTTAAAGAGGGGGTGTGGGTGTAGGTAATATTGAGATATGTACACATAATTTTGGCATTTTCTAGCTTAATATCACATCTTAAGTGTTTTCCCCATAGTATTTGTTATGTGCTGTCGAGTCACCTGCAAACTATAGTGACCCTGTGTATACAGCAGCTCTGAACCCTACCCTGTCCTGAGCAAGTCTTCTTAATTCCCTCCCATTGCCCTAGTTACTGTATCAGTCCATTTCATCCTGAATCTTCCTCTCCTGCGCTGTCACTCCACTCTTCCAAGCATGATATCCTTCTCCAAAGACCAGTCTCTCCTGGCCATGTGCCCAAAGTATGTTAGATATTCTTTAAAAGAATGATTAAAAAAAAAAAACCAAACTAACATCTTTTTAAAATAATTCTGCTGTGCTTTAAATATGGATTGAAGCTCAACAAAGCTTCTCATCACTAGGCCAATTGACAGTGTTATGATGGATAATAAAGAAATTGAGATTGCTTGCTTGGTTCCACCCACAATCAACACTTTTTGTTACCAGCAGCCAGGAAATTAAAAGACAAATTGCATAGGGAAAGTCTACTGTCACAGACCTCTGCAGAGTACTAAGATCAAAGATGTCAGTCTGGAGACTAATGTGTACCTGATTCAGGTCTTTGCAATTATTTGGTATGCATCAGAGAACTGGACAATGATGAGGGATGATAGAAGGAGAATTGATGCCTTTGAGTTGTGGTCCTGGAGAAAAGTATTGAATATACGATGGACTGCTAGGGGAACAAACAGGTTTATCTTGGAGAGGGTGAAACCAGGCTGCTCCTTAGAGGCAAGAATTCAGAAGCTTCATCTGATATACTTTAGACATGCAGCAAGGAGGGACCAGTCCTTGGAAAGCGACGTCATGCTTGGGAGGGTGGAGGGGCAGCTCAAGAGAGGAAGACCCTTGATGAGATGGATTGATGGGGTACTGAGAGTATGTGTGTTGGAAACAATAAGATTAGCACAGGATAGAACAGGGTTTAGGACTGTTACACATAGGGTCAGCATATAACTACAATGATTTGAATGTATATGTACTTGGAAGTATTGAGAAGTATTTTTATTATAAAAGTTATACTTCTTTGTCCTCCCACCAAAATCCAAAAACATCAAGAAGGAAAAATAAAAGAGAACCCCAGTATCCCACCAGGAGCCCTGGTGGCATAGTGGTTAAAGCCCTTGGCTGCTAAATGAAAGGTCAGCAGTTTGAACCCATTGTCTGCTGCATGGAAAAAAGATGTGGCAGACCCATCAAGCGAAACAGCCTTGGAGACCTCTGGGGAGCTGTGCTCTGAGGTGTGCTGGGTGGACTGTGGTCAGATAGTCTGACAGCATGAGTAACGTCCCACCACAGTCTGACATTAACCCTAATATGGAGTTTTCTAAACTCTCCACACATATTTATAATTCTGCCTTGAAAGGAGCTGTTACAGTCATTGCTGTGACCTGTTGTTGTCTGAGGACAGCGCTGGCCGACCCTCTGTGGGGTGGTCTGTCTGTGGGGGTGACTGCTGGCCTCTGCTGTCAGCAGCCCTGGAGCCACCTCATGGCCCAATCCTCACTTTCTGTGTAACCCCAGAAAAGTCACTTCACCTCTCTGGGCCCTGGTCTTCTTTCTGTTAAGAGCGAGTGCCCAAAAGTCTCTTGAGGATTAAATAAGTTAATATAGACACTAGGTGTGTGGAAGCTGTTGCCATTGCTGGTCCCACCACTTAGATTTTAAAATAGGTAAATTTTTTTTGTTTGTTTTCTAAATATTCAGTATTGCAGAAACTTGGAAAAACTGTTTGGATGGTGCCACAGATTTTAAAGAGGTATGTAATTAATTAATTGATTCACCAGGCACATGGTTTCTAAAAGCATTAATATTTTAAAAATTTTAGTTTTGCACTTACCTTTTTTCCCCCACCTGAAATTTTCAGTTGATTCCTGAATTTTATGGTGATGATACCAGCTTTTTAGTCAATAGCCTGAAATTGGATTTGGGAAAGAGACAAGGAGGGAAGATGGTTGAAGATGTGGAACTTCCCCCTTGGGCATTGAGTGAGTATTGGAGACGTTTGGGTACAGAAAGTACTCACTGAATGGTGCAGTTTCCATATTAGTGATTTTTTTGTTGTTGTTATTGCTTAGATTTAAAAATAACAAGATTTTTTTTTACAAAAAATAAACTGTTAGCAGCCTTATTAAAAATCAACAAGATTCCATAACTCTGTTAGTGTTGTTGTGTTCCATCAAGTCACACTGACCCATAGTTGACCCTCCAGCAGGTTGTCAGAGGCCATGAATCTCATGGGAGGAAACTGTAGTAGATTTGAACGGTGTGCCTTTGTTTTACCACTAAACCACCAGAGCTCCCTGAGTCTATGATGCAGAAACTTTAATTATGAATTTGAGAGAAGAGTACTGTGAAAATTCTTTTTTTTTTTTTACTTAAATAAAATTTTATTTTATACTGGTTTACTTACAAAGTTCATATACATGGTTTTTCACAATGGATCTTTCCCATTTCCTTTATGGAAAATTATTCTTGTCACTTCCCACCCCACCTCACCTCTCTGCCAGATACTTACATTTTATATGATAGAAGAAAACACTTTATTTACAATACATATTTTTTTGGTATTCTTAAGAGCTTTACCTAAGTGTGGATAGACAAGAGAAGTAGGAGACAATGAAGCCATAGCTTTGTGATGTGATGACTCATTTTGTCTGATAGGCCCCGAGGACTTCCTGCAGAAGAGCAAGGACGCACTGGAAAGCAGCTATGTGTCAGAGCATCTTCACGAGTGGATTGACCTAATATTTGGCTACAAGCAAAAAGGCATTGATGCTATAGGCGCCCATAATGGTAAGCAGCATTCCCTGACATTGTATTTGCCATTTAGTGGAAGCAAAAGCCAACAAAGTGTCAGTTCAGGCCAGTGGAGCTTTGTCTCTTAGCCGAAGCGTCTTCTCTCAGGTCAGAGCCTGCAGCTCAGTGACCCTGGAATAGATGCTGAGTCTGCCCTCACTGTGATCCCAAGGAGTTAAGTGTATTTTCCTAAAGTCTTCTAATTTTAGGTGCACTTTCATCCCATTTAATGTCAGCTAAAACTCAGTCAAAATATACTGTAGGGCCATACCGTTTGTTCTTACTTGACCTCATCCTATTGTTTGCATTTCACCGACTCCCAGAGGGCTTCTCTGAGCTCCTCAGTGTGGATCACAAGAGCTGAGCAGGATCTCAGCCCTGTGTGCTCACGGGGCTTTGCAGGGGGCTTTACAGGGTGGCCCTAACCATAGTAGGCCTCCCCTCAGAGGGAAAAAATATGGGTTGAGAAATCCACCAACACAACCGCACAGCGAACCTGACAGTAATGTGCAGTACATGAGAATTCCAGCCATTACTTCATGGAGCTGGATGCTTATCTGTTGTGCATGCAAACATCAGTGTCTCTGAGCACTAGTGTAAAGTTGAGTTGTGTAAATTCTCAACAGAGTGTCTAATGAGGCATCACATACCTCAATAGTGGTTTATGTCTCTCTTTTCAGTGTTTCACCCACTGACCTATGAAGGAGGTGTTGACTTGAACAGGTACTTAAAACCTTTAAGGAGTTTCCACTTAGTTACAAAAAATGCCTCTATCCAAAGGATTATTGCAGTTATTTTAAAGTAGTAAGGTATGAAATTGTTACAGTGAATTTTCTCTTAGTTTCACCATTGTGTAAGTTAACCAGCTGCAGAAAGTGACCTCTGGGTTTATGGTGCCATTAAGATAGTCCTAATTGCCTTTTATCTGAGGCTCCTCTCTTGCTGATGGAGCTGTTGGAAAGCATGGGTCCAGGCACTTTCTCCTGTGTATTCACAGCACTCTCTGTGCTTGTCCCAAAGCATCGATGACCCTGACGAGAAAGTGGCCATGCTGACCCAAATCCTGGAATTCGGGCAGACACCAAAGCAGCTCTTTGTGACCCCACATCCTCGAAGGATCACCCCGAAGTTTAAAAGTTTGTCCCAGACTTCCAGCCTCAATGCCTCCCTGGCAGATTCCCCAGGTAAACCTCGGGGAGGAAGTAGATAGATGTGGGCTTCTCTCTTCCTGCCTGTGATGAGAGGGATTCCACAGATTGTGACGGGAAATCCAGACAGGGCCTGGTGACTGCTCTCAGGTGGCTACTCTCACTGTCGCCCTTGGTTCTCAGCAAAACACTTGCCTGTTCTTTCTACTGTTGACTTTGAGTATTGACTTGAAGGGAACTCCGTGGCATTGTCTGGAGGGACTTGCTCTGTTAACCCATGGCCACACCTTTCTGGTGGTCAGATCCACCAGTGGCCTCAAGAGAGAAAGGTGCTCAGTCTCCTTTCATGTGATGTACAACCTCAGACACCTGCTGGTGGGTCAGCTGAGCTGGTTCCGACTTGGCAGTAATAAAGTACTGACTTTGAGGGAAATCAGTGCCTCTTGTTTTCAGGTAATTCACTGAGTGAGATTTGGCAGTATTTCTCAGTGTAGTTCCCTTTCCCCCAGTGGTTTCCTCACTCAGGTTTGATTCTCAGCGAGGACCCCTTCCTCATTGAGAATTCCTGGGCCCGGCTACCTCAGAGTCACAGTCCTCCCTGCACTGCCCAGGGGACCTCCCGGGAATGTGCTGTATTGTGTCCTCCCTGAACCTTGCCATCCTACCCACGTGCAGATCTTCCATTTTATTTGATCATGTTTTCTTTAGTTAATCATTTGAAAAACACTTACAGAGTATATGCTCTGTGCCAGCTCTTTCAATAAACTTGACCCTGTTGTCAGACATCATATTTGAAAAGGAAGAAGCATTCACCTTCATCCAACTGTCTGTGTTACAGTCTGAAAAAGACAGGCTTACATCTCAGGCTCTGAGCCTGAATGCCTGTGATACCACATAGAACCGTGGAGCCAAATCCTTTCCTGTCTTCTCTCCATTCTCCTCAATACCTGCCCGAGGTACGCTTCCACTTTCTCGGGTGCACCCAGCTGAGTAAGCACTTTCTTTCAAACCTGGATGAGTAGCAACTGCAACCACACGGCTTATGACAGCACCAAGTCCTCCTTTAGGAATTGGCACCCCAAAAGATTTTGTGACACAAGACGGTGGGGTCACCTTGTGATGCCGTGAAGTCCGTGCTGTATGCCAGTTGCTATCTCCAAACCACAGTTACAAGACTGGTCTGAAGTTGGCCCAGCTATTCCTGAAAGCCGACTGTGGAGCAGCCGCTAGAGAGACAGTGTAAGAGGCCTTGACGTTCCTCTTTCCATCTCCTCCTTACCCTTCCCTCAAAGTGAGACTGAGCTGCAGCGCTCTTGAGGAGAGGCCCACAGGCAGGAAGTAGTGACCTGGTCATATACTGCTGCCTGTCACACATTACAGGCAGTGAAATGCGGGCACTGGCAGGAGTATAAAGGACAGTGATGTCCAGAGGTACTTGACTGCTCTACCTAAACCTGCTTTATTTCAACTTTACCATTTATTGTTTTTCCTGGACTGTCCTGGACTTCTCTAAGGACATTTCAAAGTCTTATTTGCTGGGAGCTTTGTTTTCATACTTATTTGATTTTAATAGAAAACATGGTACTGGGTGCTTATTGTCTGTTAATCCGTTGGTTGACTCAGTCAGCAATGGTGTCCTGTAGTGTCTCCAGGTGAAGAGTCCTTTGAAGACCTGACGGAAGAAAGCAGAACCCTCGCCTGGATGAACATCAGCAAGCTGCAGCTACATGAGCACTACAAGATTCATAAAGAGTAAGCATGGAGCTGGGATGCCTCACCTGGCGGGTCTTCTCTTGAATTTCAGCTTTTAATTGGGGGTGGGGGGTGGAGGCATCGTTTTCACTGCTGTCACGGTTGCTATCTCCTGAATGTCCTCTGTGATCTGTTCCCTGAGGGGGTGTGAGCCAGGGAAAGCTCGGTGGAGGTGGTCTGTTTAACATGCTGTACTGTCATCTCTGATGCCTGTCTTGCTTAGAACCTGATGGAGGTCAGCTGACCACATGGTCTTGTGCCTCTCATGCATCCTTGAGGTCTTGGATGAGGAAGCTGTGAGGGTCACGCTGTCTTCCCAAAGAATTGAACTCACTCATATTTTAGAAGTGCATAATTTCAAAACAACAGGTGCAAATATGATAGATAAGAATACGTGTGTTTACATATGCATATATAACAGTACACAGGGTAGATACAGAGAGCATGGCAAAGTTCAAGGATCCATGGTGGCACAGTGGATTAAGCATTAGGCTTCTAACTGAAAGGGCAGCAGTTCAAACATATCAGCTACTTCAGGAAAGAGGGATGAGGCTGTCTGCGTCAATAAGAATGTCTGCCTTGGGAGTTCCCCAGCGGCCCCGTGGATCTGTCTCTTGCTTCAAAAGTGTTTGGACAGAACAGACCCAGTGACTTACCCCCTTCCAGCCTCTGACTACCCTCCAACTTCACCTCCAGGAGTAACATTGGGACCATCTCAACCATCTCCTATTTTGGGGACCAGCTAACACCTTTTTTTTGTTAGCCCCAAAACCTTGACCAACTATGAGCTCTCAAATCCGTCAAAATTATTCCGCTGAAGCAGAAGCTGACGTCAACTATCTGGTCAACCTGCACCTGCGGGTCGCTTATACCTACCTCTCTCTGGGCTTTTATTTTGACCGTGATGATGTGGCCTTGGAAGGCGTGGGACACTTCTTCTGCGAGTTGGCGAGTTGGCAAACGAGAAGCGCGAGGGTTCGAGCGGCTCTTGAAGCCTCAAAACCAGCGCAATGGGCCAGTCCTCTTCCAAGATATCCAGAAGCCATCCTAGGATGAGTGGGCTAAAACCCTGGATGCCATGCAAGCAGCACTGGCCTTGGAGAAGAACCTAAACCAGGCCCTTCTGGATCTACATGCCGTGGGTTCCACTCACACTGACCCCCATCTCTGTGATTTCTGGAGAACCACTTCCTGGATGAGGAAGTGAAACTGCTGAAAAAGATGGGCAACCATCTGACCCACATTAGAAAACTGGGCGGCCCCCAGGCTGGACTGGGCGAGTATCTCTTTGAGCATCTCACCCTCAAGCACGACTAGGGGCCTGCAGGGACCTGCAGAGGGGAACCTCTGCGTCCCTCTGCCATCAGCAGCAAGCTTCTCTATCCCACCCTGATGTAGAATCTTATCCACCCAGAAGCCCTTCGCCCAAATGAAACAATAAAGCTTTTTGCAACAGCTAAAAAAAAAACAAACAAAACAATGTCTGTCTTGGGAAGCCTCAGGGACAGTTTGACTGCTGGGAGGAACACCATAAGTGGGAATCAGCTTCATGACTTCATGGCAGGGAGGGGATTAGAAAATTCAATTATTTTAATCTTAAAGATTATCTTGTTCCTTCAGAGAAGTTGGCTTGCTGTTGAAATGTGAGGCATACGTGTGTTCCTTGCCCTCTGCCACTGAGGATATCTGCTTCATTGGTGGAAGGGCTTGGGAGGCCCATGATCTCGCCTGAGCCATTCTGTCCTAAATACGAAAGCCAGGTGCAGAGGGTTGACCTGTTTCGCATGGCCATGGAGGACACGCTGATGCCTTCACTGATGAGCATCACTGTGGTGGACAGGCAGATGTGAGACTGGTGGTTTCAGATCAGGGCACAGCCTCCTGAAAGGAACTGCTCTGTCCTCGGATGGCTTTTCTTTTCTCAGCTCTCTAAACGACGAGAGACCTTCCAGTCCAGGTGAAGGAATGAATGAAACTCTATGAGGATATGCAGTAATCAGACGCTGTATCCTCAGATGTGAGGTCTCTTCAGTTACCTAGTGGTTATTGTTATGTGTGGTCAAGTCGCTTGCAACTTATAGGAACTCTATATACAACAGCGCTATACCCTGCTCCATTCTGTGCCAATCTTATTGTCTCTAACACACATACCTCCATTACCCCAGTAACTGAATCAGTCCATCTCATCGTACTGTAACAGAAATAAACAAGTAAGTGGCTTTAAGAAACATTTTTACACTAAAGAAACCAGAACTGCCATCCAAACAGATACATATTTCTTGCTCCATTGTTTACAATAGCAAAAAGATGGAAACAACCCAAGGGTCCATCAACAAATGAAAGAATAGAAAAGCTGTGTTATATTCACACAATGGAATACTATGCAACATTGGGGGGGGAAAAGGAACTCATAAAATATTACACAAAATTAGTAACCTTGGAGGACAGTATGCTGAGCGAAATATCTCAGTCACAAAAGAATAAATACTATATAATGCCACTGTTATAAAAACAGGACTGAAAGTGGCAATTGGGGGGGAAACTAAGAGGGGATAAATAATAAACATTGCATTGAAACAGATGAGGGAAAGAACTGTTTAAAAGGAATATATGATTAGGCATTACTTGCATGACAACCATCCAGAATAAGAATTGCATAGCAAAGTGGACTGGGAGGCTAGGAGAAGGACGAAATTGTGCAACAATGAAAGAATCTTGTGTGTGTGTGTGTGTATGATCTAAGTTTTTATGTTTGCATTTTTATTAAATGTTAGATTTCTTTTGTAACAATTAGACTGAAGATGTTGTAGGGTGCTGTCAAGTTGAGTATAGTGAGGCCCTATGAAAAATAAACCTACTTTCTGTCCTATCCTGTGCTATCCCCAGCATCTCTGACACACCTAAGCGCATTGCTGCAGTCACTGTGTCATTCCACCTGGTTAAAGATCATCCTTTCTTTCATTGTTCCTCAGCTTTCCCAAGCTTGATGTTCCTTTCCAAGGAATAGCCCTTTCAGGAAACATACCCAAAGAATGAAAGGCAAAGTTTTGCTGTCTTTGCCTACAAAAAGCATCTTGTTGCCCTTTCCTGAGACATATCTATTTGTTCTTCTGGCACTCCATGGGATAGTCAGTACTCTTTCTCCAATGTCATATTTCAAAGGCATCAATTTTTCTTTTATGTGTTCAGCTTTCATTAGTATAGCAAGGGATTGAAAAGAGCATGGCTTGAATCATGCACATCTTAATTCTCAAACTAACATCATTGATGGTCAATAATTGAAGTTGAGTAGATAGTATTGTCACTATTCAACAGAGGATATAGATACCATACAAGAAATATGTTGCTGGTGTTGTTGATGACAGGTGCCATTGACTCAGTTCCAGCTCATAGTGTCCCCCTCACAGTGCAATGGAACAAAGCCCTGTCCAATCTGTCATTCTCATAGTCCCTTCTGTGTTGTTCCAGTCAGTGTGTTATCCCATCTCACTGAAAATCTTCATCTCTTGTTCTGACCATCTACTTTCCAAGCATGAATAATCTTTTTCAGAAACTGATCCCTCAATAATATGCTCAAAAGAAAGAATCTTTTTAAAGAGAAAAGCAAACTGGGGGGGGGAGGGGGGAGTAAGGAGGAATATATGCCACAATGAGTGAGTAGAAATCCAAGTTTTCTGTAAACTTTCATGAAAGTTTTATTAAAAAGCTTAAAAAGTAAAGCCTTACCTTTAAAACTAAGTGGGAACATGGGGTAAAAAAACCCAACTCCCACAAAAACCCATTTATGAGGGGACTGGCTCTAGGACAGTGCTTCCTCTTTCTGTCTGCTCTGTGGCAAGTCCTTATCTCTGAGTTTCTCAGCTGTTTCCACGAGTAATGGCATCAGCTTTTCCCTCTCTGTGCTTCCTTTCTTTTGAACATAATTAGTTTTAAGATCTGAACAGTGATTGGGTTTAAAGACACATATGGCCTCATTAATATAACAAAAGAAAACTGTTTCCAGCTGTGATTATATCATAAGGTAGAGGAAGTATGACTCCAGCACATATACTGGGGAGACAAAGTTCAGCCCATAACACTAGGTAACTTGGGGTCAGTAAGGAAGCAGTGCAGTTACTGTAAAGAACAGCTTCAGTAACTTTGGTCATGGTCAAATATGGTGGTATTGAAGGAGAATCACTTATTACTTTTATGTCAAAAACAGGTTGAATATAGAAGTTAGGTAAGCAAAGAGTGGGCATCTTTTAGCTACAAGATTTTGCCAAAATAAAACAAGACATTCCCAAGAGATGGTTTAGTAATAGTAAGTGTGGGCTAGGGTAGATCCAGCTGTGGAGGCAAAACAGAGCAGCTTGGTAAAATGAAATCTGAACTCTGTCCGAGCTTGAAGGTAATTTATAACACTCTGTTTTTATACAGGGCAGTGACTGGAATAGCAGTCTCCTGCAATGGCTCGTCAGTCTTTACCACATCCCAAGGTATGTTTGCCTTTCCAAAAAGAAGTTTACTTAGAATCATCAAGTAGCCAAGTTTCTTTACTCCCAGTTATGAAATCTATTTGTGTGAGCTGCCACCACAAAGTGTAAAACAAAATACAGAGTTGACTCACAGTGACCCTGCAAACAACAGATCCGAACTTTACCCTGTCCTGTGCCATCATCACAAGCTGCAGCAAGCTCCAGCTCAAGGTTGTAGTCACTGTCAGTTCATCTTGTTAAGAGTCTTCCTTTCCAGCAGGATATCGTCTTAAGGCCTAGTCCCTCCTGATAACATGCCTAAAGTATGTGAGATGTAGTTTCACCATTCTTGCCTTTAAGGATCACCAGGACTGCATTTCCTCCAAGATAGATATGTTTGTCCCTTTAGGAGTCCATGGTCTATCCAGTATTCTTCTCCAGCACCACAATTTAAAGGCATTGATCCTTCATTGGTCCTTACTCATCGTCCAACGTTCAGATGCATAGGAAGCAACTGGAAATACCATGGCTTGCATCAGGCACACCTTAGTCTTTAAACTAATATACTTGCTCTTTATCACTTAGTATATATTTGTAATTTGTAAATATATGTTCTTTAAGGTTTAGCTCACAATTTCACCCATATATTGTTAACATGGCTAAACATTTTTAAAGTTATTAAAATATATTAAGTGCTTGCTTGGTGTGACATCTCTAACTATATTTTAATGTACATTAAAATTTGACAGTTTTGACCTTGTGAAAGGACTAAGCAAAGAGCCTTTTTTGCAGGAGGTACACATTATTGCCTAGTGGTCTGATAAGCTATTGCCCTCATCTCCTCCACCACTGACCTGATATGGGCAGAGGAGGCCAGGAGTAGGCACATACATATGGCTTAATGGGAGACCCATCACTATACTGGGAAGCTCTGGGAGCCTTGTGGCAAGAAGCTGCACTGCAATTGTGAGAGCAATGTGGTTTAACTCTACCAGGTACTTCGTAAGAGAAGGATAGGCAGTCTCTTCCCATGTGATTAACTGCCTCTGAAAACCCACAGGAGGGTCAGCTGTGGATTGGTTCTGATTCTACAATAAATAGCAACAACTACGTCACCGTGCTGACCCTAACCCTCAAAGTCCTCTGCTAGATTATTTTTTTTTTAATTTAGGTTGTTTATTTTTCATTTCAATGAACATCTACAGAGATTTTGGGATTCCATTCACTCATTATTGCACCCTTCTCCCCGCACAACCCCCCCTCGTTTGCTCCTCTCCTTGAAAAGCAAAAGAAAAACTCCCTCATTGGTACACAATCCCCCCCCCGCACCTCCCCAAACCCCACCCCCTACCCCCAAATATAATCC